AGAAGTCTAGTCTCTCTCTCTCTCTCTCTCTCTCTTTCTCTATCTCTCTCTCTCTCTCTCACACACACACACACACACACACACACACACGCACACAAGAACTTCAAAACTTCAGGCTGGAAGTGACACATACTTATGCCTTTTTCACTCCCAACCTATTGGCTGAATGGCTAGGAAAGGTATGAGATTTTATAGTGTTGCTATAGGACTAGACAAATGGATCAATGGGAAATATAGTGGATCACACATATTTGAAATTTTAATCTATGACAAGAATAATGATTTAATTACCTAGGAAAATGGACGGAGCTGTGAAAACTAGCTAACTATATATAAGAAACAAAAGTAAAATTTTACATTACATAAAATAACAAATTCTAGGTAAATTAAATACCTAAATGCAAAAAATAAAACAAAAGTTGCCAAGAAAATTTAGGAGACTATGTGAAAAAAGCCAGCATTCATGGAGACTTTTTAAAACCAAAGTGCTATTAAAACCCAAATGATAAAAATAAAAATTATCTCAGTTTTTATGGCAAATACATGAATCAAGAAATTAATAAAACTAGAAAAATATTTGAAATATTCATGATGGGTAAAAAGTTTGTACCTATAGCATAGAAAGAACACTTATTAAAAAATGATGGGAAGATATCCAACAGAAAAAGAGACAAGAGATGTGAACAGGCAGTTTATAAAGGGAAAACCCACATAGTCAAAAGATAAAAGAAGTTCAGGTTCTCTAGTAGTCAGGGGAAAAAAACACATGTATTAGAAGTGTTATCTATTTTACATATTTTAGGCTGACAAAACTAAAATACTTGTTACTGGAGTAGATGTGGAGACAAGGGTAATTTAATTGCTAGTGAAATGTAACCATGTTACATCCTTTTGGAAGGCAATCTAGCAACATTAATAGAAATAGAAATATACAAAACACATACATATGCAAATGAATATAAATATAATCCATTACCTAGCAATTCCACTTGGAACCTATCCCATAGAAACAAAACACCAGACTATGGAGACATATGTAAGAATGTTTATTGTTGCATTGTTTTTAGTAGCAAAAACTGAAAGCAAGGTGAATTTTTATGAGTAGGAAATGGAGAGTAAGGTGCATCCATAACATAATAATATTTACCCATTGAAAAGAATCAATTAAATCTATACCTGTTGACTCTGAAGCATCCAAACAATATTTTGAGTGAGAAAAACAAAATTCAAACACTAGTAAAAGTCATATTTGTATAGGCTTACATAGTTATTGTGTGTGTTTCTATTTATTTTATATAGTATGAAAGAGTCTGGACAAATAAGGGAAGATTTATACTAGCCTGTCAACTGCGATACTGGTGGGTCTGTGTTATATGTCAAGGAGGGAGGTCAGTAGAAAGGAGAGGGGAGGGAAAGAGGATAAGGGAGAAAACATCATTTCTTGGAGGAAAGAAAAGCCTATATAGTATCTTATCTACACATTCATGCCAAGTTATTCCTATGTGGGGAAAAGTCACTACTTTATGGAAGGGACAATGCCAGCGAAGGCCCCTCCTCAGAGCATGTGTCTAAACCAAGGGATAGCTTTGGCTATGGTATGGCAGAAACTTTGCTTCTTAATGTTTGCCCATCATAAATATGCTTGTGTGTGTGTGTGTGTGTGTGTGTGTGTGTGTGTGTGTGAGAGAGAGAGAGAAAGAGAGAGACAGAGACAGAGACAGAGAGTGACAGAGAGAGAGAAATTAACTAGCAAGTCATATGTATTTCTAGGGCATGGGTACCTGCCATGAAGAACCAGGACCTGAAAGGAGAGCATCCAGGCCAACCTCATCCACATGTCAGGGTGAGGGATACGGACCCTTGAAGTACAGAGTAGGAAATATAGGTGTTCCTGTAAGTGAGCTGGGCAGTCCCTGGGATGTTAAGCAGAGTCATATGGTTTGATATCTTAAACACCTATCTGAAATATTCTTTTTAACACATTCTCTAGGCTTCTCTATAGATACAATTTTCTACTCTCATCCCTGATTCCCTCTGTTGCCAAAATTAGGTGTCCTCACCCCATCATCTCTTCACCAGAAAGAAACTGGACCAAGGCAGGTCTGCCCCAGCACAGTCTGGAATGTGTGGGTTCTCGACTTCACATAGGAAAGGTTTCATGGCAGGAGTCCACGTGATTTTGAGAGCACCTTTATTAAAGCTGGGGACAAGGAAGCAAAGGAAAGGCTTCAGATAGAAGAGGTGAGGCCACAGCAATGGGAGTGAGCGTGGACTGGGCTGCCTAGACTTACATAAGGAAGTCACAGTGACAGAAGTGAGCCACGCTGGGCTGCGTGCACTCAGGGAACAAGTTACAGAGGCAAAAGGAGAGTCCTTAGAGACAGGTTCAGGGGACTGGCCTGGGACCAGCTGCCTCTGCCCACTTCTCCCCTGGCTGCAAGTCTCACGGGGATCCTTGGAGCTTCAGAGAAAGAAAGTAAAAGCGTGTGCCCAAGGAAAGGAGAGGCACAGGTGTGCTCACAGGACTGTGCACACTAGGATTTTTTTCCTCAGGGTTCAGATGTGTTTTTTAAAGGTGGAAGTTTTAGGGGCTATCTCAGGGGAGGGTCTCAACAGAATATTCAATAGATTTCCAGACGTGTCCTTCAATGTGCTGACACATCAAAATGAGTGTATAGGGAGTTTGGAATCATCTGGTCATTTCACTCTTACTTTTATCTTGAATTTGTCTGGCTCTGATTGGATTTTTATTATTTATTCCCTTGACTTCACCTTTTCTGGGTTTTGGCTGGTACTGATGGCACTAACTGGGTCTCTGTTATCTATCTCCTCGACCAGGGTGATTTAAACTACTTACTCTCTGGTTGGGGAGGTCAGGTATAAACCATCTTCTCCTGGGTGTCCTTGGTTAAGGAAGACAAGATCTTTTGATGTATTATCAGGCTGTTGATTGCTCTGCCTTGTTTAACTGCTTTGTCTCAGTTTCCCTCATTCCACTTGCCAGGGGATTTTCCAGCTTACTGCTAACCTGTCTCAGTCATACTGTCTGTGCCTGTAGTTGTCTCTTTCTCCCTCACTAGTCTGTAAGTGCTTGGCAGACTGCACCTTCCGCACAGTACCTTGTTCAAGAGACCAGCTTGCTCTACTGATGGAGGATAAATGGATACAGCCTTATTTTTTTTAGCTTAGGTTTTCTTTACTTTCTCTTTTCCTTTAAGCATTGCTCCTTTAGAAAATGTCAGCCTGCCTCCACTGAACAGGAAGAATAGAGAAAGACGGCTTTACACAGCTTAGGAGGACACTTTAAAAGTGGACACACACGCACCCTTTCTGAGAGGTGGTGGAAGCAACTGTGAGAGATCCCGGGTGGTGGAGGAGGCGTTCCCTTTGCCGTCCCCTATGGAGGCGGGGTTGGGGTGGGGGGAGCTGTTCTCTTTAAGGCCTCATTGGAGTTTTCTCCTCCGGGTTTAGGGGCTCTCAGAGGACCAGGACCGAGTAGTGCCAGGTGCGGTTCATATAATGCTGAAATCCCAGGCTTCAAAAAACCTGAGTGAACTAGTAGACTTCCCGCCTCGAGAGACGATCCGATTTTAGCTCTGCCCAAAATCTGGGCAATAAATTACTAAGCTTTAAAAAACGTCTCGAAACACACTTGACGCACTCGCTGGAGAGGCGCGCAAGCAGGCAGGACTAGTGCCTAAACGCGGCCCCCGAGAGAGTGGGGGCTTGCGTCCACCCGAGCCTCCTGCCCTCGTCCCACAGTTCGGAGTCCCCACAGTGAAGGGTGGATCGTGGGCAGAACGGTAGATGGCTCCCAGAAAGGCTCCGAAGGTTCGAGTCTTCACAGAACAGCTTATCTGGCACTCTGTCTGGAACTCGCTCCTAACCTCAACCTATCTCGCCTTCAAAACGGTTCGCACCGACTGGCTAGCCGTTCCCACCTCCTTCAAGTGCCTATTACCAGCTCCGCAGTTTGAAATGGCCTTGAACTGGGAGACCAGGCTTCGAAGCCGAGGGAGGGGTGGTGAGGGTGGCAGGGGTTGGAGATGGGAGGGCAGGTACAGAAAAGGCGGGCAGCCCTGACCCACAGTCCCTACCCAAACCTGAGAGCGGGGAGGTGGAAGAGTCCCGCCACTACCACCACCACCATGCCACGCATGTCCCGGCTCTGGCCTGCACCCGGAGGCATGGAGGCAGAGGCTGCCAGGTCCCCAGGCGGCGAACGGGAGGCCGCAGTGGGCGCTGGCAGAGAGCCCAGAGCCGCGCGTCTGGGCAACACACTGCTGATGGGTGGCTCCTCCGCTCACCAAGCTTCACAGGGAACGCAACCCAGTCCCGGTTGTCCTAGTGGGCGGCTCAGCTGGAGTTTTTCATGGAGCAAGGAGTCAAGCTACCAAAGATGTTGGGGAGGGTGTCCTCCAAAGCGTAGAGCTTAGGAGAATTGGCCTGCCAGGGAAAGGAACTAGGCATTTTGGAGGTGTTTCCTAAACACGACCTTAGGAAAGTTATTTTCCGGAAACCGGAAACCAAACGTCCTCCCCTCTCGCTTCTCCACAGTCTCCAGAGCCAGCGCGCCGTGCACTCCGGCTGGAGCACGAGCTGGAGCACTGCCGCAGCGCTGCGCTGGCAGGTCGCCCCCACACTTGCCCTACTCCCCAGCCACAGGCAGGTGCCTCTGCAAAGCTGTCGCAGCACTCTGCGCTGCCCTCCCTGAAGTTCAGTGTGCATCACTGCTGCTCATTCTCAAACCCTTCCTTTCCCCACTTGGTTCCAGCTGCAGACCCCAACTGACGCAATTACTCCAAGGTTGCCTAGCGCCCCCTGGCGGAGTGTGTGGCGCGTCCGATTTGCAGACTCCCACCGCAGGTACAGGGAGCTGCAAAAGGCGTGGTGGCTGCGACGCCGGACTGAGACAGCTGGCAACAGCTGATGAAGCTGCAGCGCACTGGGACTGGCGAGTACGAAGCCCAGGTACTGCCCCTTCCTGGTAAAACATTTCTGCCAGGCTTTATAAACCTCGCGCGCAGCCTGCGGAGGTTCTTCTGCTAACTCCCAGTCCTAGCAGGACCCGCGCCAAGAGGCGCCTGCGAAGCTGCAGGAGGTGGCGGCGCAGGGGCAACAGCGAAAGCAAAGGAAAAATTCCCAGCTGGGCACGGAGCTCCAGAATGCCGGCCACAGATTTAGAACTTTTATGAGTCGCGCTCTGACGAGCACCCTGTGTGCCCACAAGTCCTCACGAAGCAGAGCTTTTTGCCTTCCTCGCTGCGGGAAGGGGAGTAGGAGTTGTAAGCAGCAGCAGGTGCTGAAAGGCGGGGGACTCCTGCTTCTTGGAACCGTGACCGACGGAATTTCTTTTCCATTTTCAGCCCAACGCAGAAGATAGACTATCTCCAGATTTCTGAACTCAAATGCTTCCTGAGGCTTGAATACAGACGCATTCAGTGGCACCGGGGGCAGACAGACAGCAAGTGTTCATTTTTAGGGCGCCGAGTCTTCTGCTCGCAAGGAAGAGTTCTGCCCGAAAGAGCCTGTAGCCCTTCTGTCTTGGTTAAGCAGGACCCTGACTCCAGGCGCTGGCCTGGGGACCCTGTTGCAAAGTGGGTGCGTGTAGAGAGAGCAAGGCTTAACCACTTAACCGAGAAATGGATAACGTCCTCCCAGTTGACTCAGACCTCTTCCCAAACATCTCCACCAACACCTCGGAGCCCAACCAGTTCGTGCAGCCTACCTGGCAAATTGTCCTTTGGGCAGCTGCCTACACGGCCATCGTGGTGACCTCCGTGGTGGGCAATGTGGTGGTGATGTGGATCATTTTGGCCCACAAGAGAATGAGGACAGTCACCAATTATTTCCTGGTGAACTTGGCCTTCGCAGAGGCCTCCATGGCTGCGTTCAACACAGTGGTGAATTTCACCTATGCTGTCCACAACGAGTGGTACTACGGCCTGTTCTACTGCAAGTTCCACAACTTCTTCCCTATTGCGGCAGTCTTTGCCAGTATCTACTCCATGACAGCTGTGGCCTTGGATAGGTGAGCTTGCCCTTTGTGGAAAAGGGAGAAAATGTCCACAGAGGGCCATGGCTTTGTTCTGGGGCTGTGGGATTGGGTTGTGCCTAGTTCAAGGTGAAGGGATTCTTACTAACAACCAGTTGTTGATGGTGAGACTCTTATCTCATCATTTTCTACTCTATTTTCTCTTTCCTTTTTTTCTCTTTCCACCCATCACCAGTCTCCCTTCCTTTCTTCACACCCTCCCCCTTTTTCTTCACTTAACCCTCTTTTCTTCATCCCTTCACCCCTCATCTCCCAGACATTTTCCTTCCAACTCCTACTTTGCTTCTTTCCTTGCATTTCTTTTCTTTGCCCTGAAAGGCTGAGGGGGATGCCCAGGGCTTGGCCGAAGTGTGGTTCCTACCTGGGATTTATAAAACCCTGAGGGCCCACTTCTGTGGGGCAGCCTCTGCCTTCCAGTTTTAGGTATGCCTAGCCAGAATTTATCATTTTTCACCTTTTCCTGAATATTCAGGAGCTTGCTGCTCCTACCTCAATGTTCCAATATTATTTGGGTGTGAAGAGCATTTATTTCACTAGAATCAGAAATACTCAGAATTCTAATTCAGCTTCCTCTACACTGCTACAAGTTCTCCTTCATGAATGAGAGGCAGCTACACTGTTCTTAAGGCATTCCATAGATAAGGAGCTTACCCAGGAGTGTTTCTAAATCTCTCTTGTAACGTGAGATCAATGTTTTTAGCCTGTCTGAACCCACAGAGAAACATGCTCAGCAAAGGCAATTGAGAACTCTCTCCTTCCTATAACCAACAGGTTAGGGTTTCAGAAGCTGACTGAATGTGAAAAGGTTGGAATTTTCAAACACAGGGGCTAGCACTCTGGAATGAATGGCCCCTCAGGTGGCATGATGGAAATTTGATCATTACAGCACAGCTCTGTTTGTATTAAGCTTTTGTGGGTGTCCTAGGTATCTCATGTGTATATCTATGTGTGCATCAGTGTTAAATGTTTATGGGGGATGTGGAGGTGGGTTTAAAACACCTGCCACTGTGATTTTAAAATGGGCTCTTTGATGGCCTTACTGAGATAAATGAATGTGAGAAACTCAAAAAAGGAACTAGGAGAAAAACTTCAAAAAAAATTCCCAAACTGCTAAACCCTTTTGTATAAAGATTGTTTATGATTTGCAATCAATTTGAGGTCTTTTTCAGTTTCTGTTGTGAATGAACACTTCTAAGATCAGAGAAGGCGGTTTCATTTGCATTGGTGTCCAAATACTGATTTCTTACTTCCATGTAAACTTCCCTTTATGCAGCTCTTATTTGCTTGATATGTTGTGTGTAAGGCAACTTATGGTGAATCCATTATATTTTAAATGTGGAAGGAAGCCAATTGCTCAAAGTGGTAGTGAAATGAATTCTTTAGTAAATTTATCTTTTATGCTACACTGGTTTTCAGATACTCAGTTTGCTGAAAATGAGGTGCACTTGTAAATCTTTCTGTACTGACTTGCTCCTTTATCTCACAGCTGCCCCCTTAAACTTAGAAAACCTAAAGCTTTATATGTAACTGAATATAGGTGCGGTGAAAACTGGTACTTTACACGTGCAATCTTGATGATCCTAAATTAGAAGGAGAGTTGGTATTTTTACTGCGTTGGGACCTTGTGTGAGCTCAAGAGACCTGTCAGTCAGTCAGTATGAGCAGCAGTCAACAGCTCTTCTGCTTTGGCTTCTACAGAAAAGACATGTTCCACAGCCCTGCTCTTTGCCCTTGAACTTAGGTTAGGGGCAGGCAAGAAGCAGGGCCAAAGTCTTCACAGGGGACTGGGCAGGGAGCTGCCCTGATGCTGGCATCTCAAGCTCCACTGTTTTTTTCCAAGGCAAACCAGAGACAGGACCTTGCCCCTGTGCGAACCCTGCTCAGTGAGGTCAGAGGATCTCTCGTGCCAAAGCTGAGGGAAATGACAGCACCAAGAAATGTCCCCATGTCCCTACTGTACAGATACAGCCCAGGGATGCTATTAATGACATATTCAAGTTTAGAGCTCAAAGTAGGGTTAGGGATTAAGTGTCAAGGCTGTGTCTCCAAGTCCTCCTAGTGTTCCTTCTATTTTCCCTTGCTCACCTTTTGAGCACACAGTGAATTCATCCCCTCAGGCCCTCTGAAGAATGTAGCTCCCTTGCATTTGTGGTCATCCACTCTGTCCAGTTTTAGAACAGAAGGGGCCCTACACTCTCTCCATATGAATGATCTCTCCTTTCTCCACCATGCCAATGCAGGCTGTGAGAAAATGTTAAGCTACTTTTTGTATGTTTCTTGAATCTTTCACAGATAACCTCTGAATCAAGTCTTAAATAATGAAAGCAACCTGGTTTTTCTGATAATAAAATTAAACCTTGTTCATTGCAGAAAACTGGGAAAGTATGAAGAGCATAGACCCAAAAATACAAATCAACTGTTACTTTCCTGTGCAAAAATAATGTTTGCTAACTAGTGAATTTCTCTCTTATGACTATTACACTATATAACTGAGGTCAGGTTCTATATAATTTTGTAGATTATAAATATCAATTTAGATAGATCAATGTAGATTATAAATATCAATTCTATTGATATTAATGGAAAATATTAACAACATTTTCCCTTGGTATTAAGACTTATTAAAAAGTCTTACATAACATAATTTTAATGGCTTCCTATTATTCTATTATATGAATGTGCTATTATTACTTTAGGTATCTCCCTACTGTTGGGTATTTAGGTCATTTCTAGATATTTTGCTCTTATGAATAATGCACTACTATATATTTCTGTATGATAATTTTGTTTTTCTTGCTTATTTTCTTAGGATAGATTCCCAGCAGTGGAATTACTGGGTCAAATGAAATGAATTTTAAAAAAACTTTTCCTCCTAATTTTAACGGATTATAAACTCTGAGCAAAGCAAAGAACACGTCTGTTCTCTCTTGTTTACATTATCTCCTCAGCACAAAGCAGAGTCCTTGGCACCTCATAGTCACTGTGTTTCTTGAATAAGTGAATGAATGAATAAAATAATGCATGTTCCTAGAAAAACATTTGGAAAAATGCATACAATAATTTAAAAAATGTAAAACTTTTCTACAATCCCACTCTGACAGACAACCAATTAGAATTCTGGAATGCTAGCTTATGCTTACTTTTTTTTTGTTTCTTATACCACACACAGTCACTCACACTTTTAAGGATAAATTTTGGGCCATAGTAAAAACAGTTTCAATAGCTCCTTTTTGTTTTAACTTCTTCTTTTGTTCCTTAACTTTATGTCATGAAATAGTCTTAAAAATAGAACTGTAATGGATGCATTATATTTCATGGCTATAATCATTTACCTAAGTATTCCTCTATTTTAAAATGTGAATTGTTTCCATTTGTAATGATTACAAATAACTTCAAAGTGAATATCCTGGATATAAATCTTTGAGAACATCCCTTGTTTCTTCCTTAGAGAATCTCATTGAAGTGGAATCCCTGGGTCAAACCATCCTGATAAACTGTCAAATTTCCTTCTAGAACCAAAATACATGCACAGGAAAAAAATATTAGCAGCAGATTTTAGTACTAATGTAAATCTTTTCTATAATCCTTTTATAAAATGGAGAAAGAGAGACAGGGAGATTGAGAGATAGAAGAGACAGAGAAAAAACCCCTTCATAAGAATACTTATTTATTGAGGGTCATGGTTACCTAGAATAAAAAAGTTGCAAAGAAAAATACACCTAAATAAGATTAAGTCTACCTCTAATTAAAATCTAAACAACACCAAGATTTTTACTTTTTGAAACTCCTTAATTTTTCCTCTTAAAATAAAAGTTAAATTTTTTTCCTATTTTAAAAACCAAAAGGTGTGTGAGATGTTCCATGAAATTAGAAGTCTGGGGACACTGAGAGGTGACACCTCTATTTTGCAGAAGCTGGTGATAGTAGTGGGTTCTAGTATTGTGGGGCAGTACCAAGAAGTGGGGGCACCAATCCCTAAGCCCATGAAGATGGACTTTAAGGACAATATGCAACATGGTTTGGAACCAAGCACACAGCAACAGGAGGCTCAGAAAAGCACCAGCCTGGTAACACCACTTCTCTACCTGGTAGGGGCAGGTATAATCTCTGCAAAATGAAAGGGAAAGGTTGTTCATTATTCCAACTGGTTCTGGATATGTTGTGTTTCAGTAAAAGGAAACATCCAAATGATGATGGTCTCTGAACAATATGAAATGTAGTCAGGACCAAAAATATAGTTGCTCAGACAGGGGTAATGGTGAAGGCAAAAGAAGGAATGAACTCTCTGAGAGAGTAAAACAGGAACCAAGCGCAAAGAAATACATAAATAACAAAAAAACTCTGTTCATTGATCCTTGATGTCTACCCTACTCTGCCCCAGTCATATGCAGCTACAAGTTTAAGTAGGCTTCTTCCCAGGTCTTCACTCACCCTGCATTCTATCCTTGAACCTCAACTTGTTAACTAGACTTGGATTCCACTGTATAATCCAGGACACTCCTCCCTTCACCCCCACCCACCCAGGGGCCAGACTTAGATTCTAGGATCCTTTGCACTGATTTAGGTGGACCTTATAACCTATGACTAAACAGCCCTGTGATGCTGAGAATAGTCTTTCCCTGGGAGTTTGCCCACCACAACTGCCCCTGTCTGTTCAAATCAGTAACCTTGAATGTCTGGGTTGATGTGGAGCAAACTCAAGTTTGTTTCATCTTGGATGGGTCATTTAGGCTGCAGGACCTTGCCTGGAGAAATTCAGTGCTCACCTGCTCCCTGAAGCTGCCCCAGTGCACTTGCCACATCCTCTCTCTGCTCACTGGAGCCCCCAGTGTCCTGAATGCTCAGAGGCTCTTTGTTTTTGTTTTGTTTTGTTTTTTTGTTTGTTCGTTTTAAGCTGCCAGAAGCAAAAGTTCAATTGTGGAGAAATAAAGACTAATTCTCAGTGTGAAATCACATAATGGATATATAAGACTTTT